TGATACAACAACAAACAATACCAAAAAATATGAAAACAACATGATTTAAAATTTTAGTAAAAATTATATATGAGTTTAACAAAAAAAATATTGTGTTTTTATATAACACATAATTTTTATTTAAAATATAATACGAATATACAAATTATTAATATTGTACATGATACAAATAGACAAATTATCAAATCTTTTGTCAAGTAACAATTATTTTATCATCTAGAGATGCAAGAAGTATGAACTTAAATTCTCAAAATATGCCGTTTGCATCCTTTTAACCCACATATTAGGAGGTTTTTTTTTTTTTTTTTGTCTATAAATCTCATTCTTTTTATATTTAAATTTGAACTCCCCAAACTAAAATTAATATTAAGGTTGCATTAGTTTATACTATATATAACAAGAGTCCTTTTTCATCCAATAATACGCCATTAGCTATATCTCAAAGGAGTTGCAGGTGAGATGACAACGTAATGTAGTGTCATCCATTGATATGCCATCCCCGGCCTGTAATCCTGATTTAGTTTAATGGAAACTATTTTACTATTTTAAAAAAAAAACTATTTGATTTAGTTTAATGACGCTATATATAAAGGTGGAATGTGATTCAAACAATCAAACGCCACAATCACCGGAAACATAAACAAAGTACAATAATTTTATTCAACTTCCAAAGTCGCCTTTCTTCGTTTTTCTTTTTTTTTTTTTCTATTCATTTTTGAATTGTGATACAGTCCATGTGATCTGTACAAGGAAAAAAGAGAAAGCTCTTAAAGATGTTTTGATTTGTTGCTCAAAACAACTGTCACAACTACAATTGTGTTGTTCTAGTTTCTCTCGGGATCACGCCAATTGGAACCAATTCATTTTCCAAATTGCATTTCGGCTGTGCTGATCAGAATCTTAAGCCAGGCAATGATGATGGAAACAAAAAGCATTTCAGATGTAATTTTTTTTATTATTAAAATATATTTGTAATCACGTCTAAAGTAACATCTAAAGTAACTAAAGGTTAGTAAAGAAGCTAATTGTAATGTAAACAGGCAGGTCCCAGATTAGGTTGGTCGCTCACTCACGCGTCTCTACCAAAGCTTGCTTTTTTTTTTTTGAAAAAATATGTACAAAAGCTCGCTTTAATTGAAAAGCAGAGAAATGCTGCCACCCCACCTAACCAAATCCACCTAAAATTTGAAAGCTCAACAAACTCATTCCTCAGAATCAATACAGGTGGCTTGGTTTGTGAAGAACCTAAGCACGAGTAATCATCATCAGTTAACTAGAAGCTGAGTCGACCATAAGAAAAAAGCTAATTTTTTTGTTTTGGGACAGAATCCGTTATTAATTTAAAAATCAGTTGATGAGTCAATGTGAAATCATATATAAGATATAATATTATATTATAATATATATATATATATAAATTTGATAAAATTTACATATATGAATATTTAGATGAACAATTTATATTATCGACATATAAAAAAATTTTAAATAATTTTATTTAATTAATTATTTAATTTTTAAAATTTTTATTTATCTAAATCTTTTTTAAATTTTTATTTATCTAAATCTTTTAAAATATATAAATGTTATTTTAATTTAAACCTGAAAATTAATATAAATTAAAATTTTTAATATTAAAAAAATATAATAAAAAGTTCCGCGTATGGTACGGATAAAAAAAACTAGTTTCATATAAATTACAATGCACACACTCAAACTTTTTGTTATGGGAAGCTTGTCCAATACGAGGAGTGAACTCCACTTATATGGGACGTCCAGACACCTAAAAAAAAAGAAAAACTAAAATTAAGATATTAAATATTTGTGAACAGTTGAAATAAAGTGCTAGATTTTTAATTTTAATAATCAGAATTTAAATTTATGTGAACTCAACATGTGAAAAATTTTAGATGCAATATAGGAAGGGTTGGAACTTGGAAATCAACAAAATACTAAAGGCTTTTGCATATATATCAGTGTGATGGTAAGCCTACAATCAAATTCAAACAAAGAACAGACAAATCAATGAAAATTGGATAATAGTTAAGAGTTTATAGATACTAAAGATGCAAATATAGAATTCTGCCCAATTAATATGGTTCAAATGGAAGAATGTTATAATTTTTCAATAAATGAATTATTATTAATTGATGATTTTATAGTTTAATAAAATAAGTTAATAAATTTAATCATAATACAAGATAAATATAAAAGCTCAAATAATTTCAAGTGATCGTTTATGTGTGAGATTTATATATTTTATTGAATCGTATGATTTAGTAATTATGTAGACTTTTGATCATGTAAATAGAGAAATTTCTAGGGTTTTAATAATATTGACTAAGTCTTCTTCACTTTTAATTAACAATAACAACCAATTGAGAGCTGTCAACAAGAAAAGTACGAAAAAAAATATTTAGTCTTTTTAAAAAATTAACATTAATTTCGCTTATCATTTATGAATACCCAAATAAATATATAAATTATTGATTGATATTTTAATATTCACATATGATTTTTGAGATTTAAGATTATGTTTACACATCACACAAATATATAAGATAGGAGAAGACATAAGTTTATTCTTTCTAACCTTATTTCTAAGCCTCAAGCTATTTTCTTCTCTTTTCCTTATCTTAACCTTTTTCATTTGATTGATTTGAATAATCGAAGCGTGTTTTAACACATTTAACAACACCTTTAACCGTGTTGTCTTCCTGCAAGTCCTTCTCACCTCCAACTTACCCTCCAGCTAAGCTCTACATCACCCTCATAAAAATACCATCAACTAGTCCATTAAGAATAAAGTCAAAATGTATAATTCAATATTTATGAGAAGTCATTCATTTCATATATAAAGGTCTCATTTTTTATGGATTCAGATTTTTTTTTTCATGGATATCCACATATTATAATGTGTGTCTATTGGTTGCTAGGTGTCGGCTAGTTATGGGCTATGATTTGGTATTAACCATGGTAGTGAATATAGTAGTTAGGGAATTAAGAAAGATATATTTAAGGTAAATTTTAAAAGTATCCAAAGAAAAATTGTGAGTTGTCCGTAAGAAAAACCTTAAAAAATTTTTTTTTTTTTCAAAATTTAGCGTTTTGTATCCTCCATTGGGTCTCAAGAATGAGAATGAAAAAGAAGGATGAGAAGAAGAAAGGGAACAAACATGCAATTCTATAGAAATTATTTTCCTCCTGTGTTTGGTTTTCATCCATTTCTTCCTTTTTCTTTTCTTTAATTAAAAAGAAGTCTCGAGCTTTTCATTGTGTTTGCTTCTGTTTTTAAGAACGTAAATGAATAAATTTTATTACGAATTGTTCGTAAATATATTTAATTTTTATTCATTTATATTTTTTTATTAAATTTAATAAATGATATTAAATAATATTTTAACATTCGTTTAAGAAACAAACCGAATATAAATAGAGATTTGTTTCATTCGTTTATATTTACAAATAAATTCATTTAGCATTTGTAAATAAATTTAATAAATACTTGTTTATATTTTATTTTTATTCTTTCTTAGAGGATTAATTTATAATTAAATATCTTTTAAGAAGATTTTAATCATGATCTAATATTAATACATTGAAAAATACATTTAACATATATTAAAAATCTTTCATAATGTTTTAAAAAATGTTATTGTAAAAATAATTTCTAATCACTTAAAATAGACAATAAACAAGTTATAAAAAGAGACTTTTTTGTTTACAATTTTTTTATCCCACATAGGTTAAAAAAACCAATGTAAGAAAGGAAACTCTCTACTAATAGGCATGTCCTTTTCACTCTTGAATTGTAGGATTAATTTTTTAGTTATTAATTTATGTTCATTTATATATTTATAAATATTTTTATTTAATATTTATGAATAAATTTATTTAATTTAAATGAATTAATTCAAATTAAATTCGATTATTTTAATATTTAAATAAATTAAATTCAAACATAATATTAAAATTTTTTGCTAAACACAAATATTTTTAAAATGAAAGAACCACTAACATAATAATATTTTTTTATATTCTCGGTTTGGTTTTGTAAAGGTTATAAATTCCCAATCATCTAAAAGGCTTTTCTAACTCTAAACTTCCATCCATTATTCAAACAATTGTATTATTATTCTAAACAAATGTGTTCCAGCAAGAACGACATGACTTCTCGTGTCAGATGCAAACCATCTTTAGCAGAAAAGGTTACTTCTATCACTTGGGCATCGAATCGTTTCAAATTGAAAGAAATTGTTTTATTATTTTATCATATCAAATCCGGATAATTTTGGTTTTAAAATAATTTATTTTAACATAAAAATATGAAATATAAATATTTTATTTTTATTAAATTTATATATAATTTTTACCAAAATTTTATCTCTTATTAATTTTTTTTATCATTTTCTGACTTAATTTAGTTTTGAAACTCAAAGTCTCAGTCAACAAGTGCATCAACGATAATGACAAAACAAGTCTTCAAATAAGATAACGTTCAACAAATTATTAATAAAGGGGCAGACTAAAATATGCGACCACAATTTCCCGGCTCGTGCAGAAATTTATACCCCATGATGGTGTTCTTGCATGCCCTACCAAAAATCCACCACGGAATGTTGCCATAAAAAGTTGGAAACCATGATTGAGCTGAAAGGTCAAAGCTGAAACGTGCATTGCTTCAGGAGATGGAAACAAGGAGAATAAGCTAAATGCAGAGAATAAACATCAGAGCAGAGATGAGGCTGAAATATCCATATCCTCAACTTGAAAAATGTTTAAATGCTTGAAGAGATTACAGGTCTCAACTTCAAAGAAAATTAATGGGTTAATGTGTGATTTAGCTATTCAATTATATCATTTTTCATGATTTGATATCTATAAAAAAAAATCCACAAACTTTATTAAGTATTTTATCATACACGAATTCTGTGATGTTAATAGTAAGCTGATGTGACCAAACAATAACCAATAATATCAACACGCAACATAGTTTTATTGGCCAGTACTTGTTATATCAACATTTGAGTAACAGTGTAAAATCAATACTGCAACTTTTGACGGAAATAAAATTTAGACATCTCATCGTAAAATTTTTTTTGTTTTTAGGTACCAAATCATTAAAAGTAATATTAACCCAAAATTAATACTATCAAACAGAAATATGAAATCTGAAGGTTTACATAAACCAAACAATAACTTGTGTTCTGCCTAATCTACAAGAGTATAAAAGGTTCCAAAATACAGACATGATACAGAAGAAAATATACAGTGCAAAACACCAGAAAACAATTGGGTACATAACAAGTTTTACAGCCACATTCTCTCCACCCTTCACTGAAGTTTCTGTTGTTGCTCAATGAACAACACATCTATATCTTTGCAAAACCCCACATGCCAAAAACAAAATTCAAAACCATGAGCAACTTGCTGTCAGCCATGCTCCTCACAAGGATAGAACAGAAAAAAAAAATGAAAAAGTGAATTGCCCACAAATTAGAGAAGAATAAATTAAATTTCCATATTCAAGTTTCAAAGTGAGAATAATACCCTCAGTCACAGAAGGGTTTAACCTTAAACCTGTAGAGAAGCTTCTTCTTTTTCGAAGTTGGGTTGTCAATGACAAGCAAAACTTTACCCAGTTCACCGACTTTGAAGCTTTGAGACATAACTGGTTCATCTTTTGAAGTCATCTTTGTGGATTTCTGAATGATGACTGTATAGCTATCTTTAGCATTAGGCATAAATTCAGCTCCATAGCTCACTTCCCAACCAACCACCCTGATTTCCCAAACAATAACACATTTCTGCAATGCAAAATTTTCCAGTTAATATAAGGGATCAGACCTTATTACAATCATCCTGGCAGAAACAATTACTAGCCAATCTAGTTAAATAAGTAAATAAGACAAATAAGGTCATCGGATGAGCAAGCATGTATAGGATGTGGCTATAGCATGGAAAAACAATGAAATTGCACCTCATAGATTGTTATTTCAACAGTTTGCTTTGTCCCTGGTTTCACAGTCATCTCAGTGGCAGGATCAGCATCGCTAAATTCAGGATTGCAATCACAGTAATCCACACTCAAACCACCATATTGAATTGGGACTAGCTCAGGTGATATGTATCTGTTTTACACATCAAAATGTAGGATATCAACCAATAAAAAGATATACTAGAAGATCTTGAGAATACCCACTTAGATAACTCAATTTGTTTAAAAACATTCACTCACTTGAAAAGCGTTTCAGCAGATTTTGCAGGCCCAGCAAAAACAAACTTGCTTTTGGTTCTTTGAGTCATGAATGGACTAATCATTGTATAGAATGCGAGATACCACCAAGGAACATTAATAAACACCTAAACAGAATATAAAACCAAAATCAATGCATCTCCAAAGAATCGGATGCAGAATAAAAATTGGGATAATGTCATGAATGACTCCTAAAACTATAGTGAAATATTCAATTGAAATATTCAATGTGATATTGAACTTTATCAATCTCTTACGTGGTTCTGAACTATGAATTTGTTAACTAATATGATACTTGGAGAGCTATATGTATATAATCATTTGAAGCTATCCACGTTTGGATGAGTATATGTTAACAGACTCATAATTAAGATATCACCTTAGAGATTTTTGAAGTTGAAGTACTACATTAAACATTTTAAGGCTAATCGTTATATTAACCCATTAAAATTTCACAATGAGGAGGATACAGAACAAACCTGTTTTGCAACAAACTCCGGATAATTGTCCTGAAGGAACTGAAGAGCCTGTTTTGTTGCCAACCTAAGTTCCCGTTTTCCAGGTCCAGGGGAATTCTTGAGGTCACTGACCTGGAAAATAGTGGAAACACCATCAGGACTAAAATCAAGCTTTCTTATACTCTTCTCCAAGAACTGAATACGCCAACGCAGAAACTTCATTCGCTTCTCCTCATCGGAAAACGCTTTTTGGTACAAATCTTTATTCTGAAACTCCCCGTAGACATTGTAACAAACAGGATGCCCTTCCCTATCTTGTCCATGCATGAACACAACTTTCTCCATATCATCACCAAGATCTTCATCCAAAAGCTCATCGATTCCAAACTCTTTCCTCCACTGGATCGTGTTTTTGATCATTACAAACGCATCCTTCACTTTAAAATCTCTCGCCCTTAAAAACTTCAAAAAGATGACATCACTCCTATCATCTTTTAAAAGAGGGATACCCCAAATGGAAACCTCTTTTGGTTCTCCTTTCTTTTCCTTTTCTGGGTTTTCTTCACTTTTGGTTTCTGAAGTGAAAAGGTTAGTATCTATAGCTTCTTGAACAAACTGCTTCAGTTCCTCCAGAGCTTTTCTTTCGAAATCGGATAGATCAGCCACTTTGTTACTTTCTTCTTTGAAAGAACCCAAAATTTGAGGAATCTTTTTCTCTTCAATAACAGCGGCCACCTCTTCATGAGCACTAGTTACTGCAGTACTAGAAACAGTAGCCTCTAGTGCTCCTGCCTCCTCTTTGTCCATCACCGCTGCCAGCGACTTCGACTCCGTAACCAGCTCCTGAGGTGGCGTTGCAGGTGGTTGCATCAGCTCGGATTCCGACACCAATACAGTTGCTGCTGCAGGATTTGGTGGCTCTTCTTCCTCTGGTTTCTCTGTAACAGATGGTGGTTCAGATACAGACTCCACTGGTTGCGGTGGTGGCGGTGGAGGCAGCTCTTCTTTTTCGCCTATATCCATTGAATCAGATTCCAATTTTACGGGTTCGGGTTCCGGTGTCAGCTCTTCTTTTTCCGATATAGCCGTTGAAATAGATTCTGAAACAGAAACATATGCAGCTGCAACAGGAGATGCCGGGGGAGGGTCTTGTTTTTCTGCAACAGCTGGTGAACCAGACTCGGTTACTGCCGGAGGGGGAGCTTGGGATGGAGTTTTATCGGCCATGTGCTTCTTTGTTTGTATGAAAATGTGAATGGGAGAGAAAGGGCAGTGAAAAGTGTGAAGTGAAGAAGAGAAGAGGTTCAAAAGGACAAGGGAAATACCTGGAATGGGAATCCAATGCTCTAAAAGGTTTTCAATCGGAAATTGGATGCACTTTTTTTTTTGGTGCGTGTGATCAAACCACAGTACATTCTACAAATGACAACGTTATAACCAAAGTCATTACCTATAATTATTTTGTCACTGCTATTACTTTTTCTTATATGCGGTGATTCGTGTATTTTTATAATATAAAATATTAAAATTTATATATTAATATTATATTTTTTTATAAAAATTATGTATTATAATTTATATTAAAATAAAAAATAAAAAATATATTTTTTAATTTATATATTATTATTAAAATTTTAAATTATATTATTTTTTATTTTATATTATATTTATATTATATTATTACATCATAATTTTAATTATGAGATCTTCATACAATTTCTTCTACTAAAATATTATTATTAATAGATCATAATAAAAAATTTATATAAAATTTACTGTTTAAAAATATAAAATGTTTATAATTTTTTATAAATCTTAGAAATTATTAAATTATAATTAATTAATTATACTATAATAATTATAAATAATATATTCACAAATAAAATTTAATAAATTTTTTTAATTCATAAAACGACCTCTCTAAACATCATTTTGTATAAAATACCAAAATAACAAATGTTTTAGAAGTTAATAAATAAATTTAATATTTTATTAGGATAACAATTCATAACATATTAATATTTTATTTTTTAAAAAGTTATAATTAATTTATTCAATAAATAAATATGAAAAATAAACTACTTTTGACAAACAAACTTTTAACCTTTTAAATTAGAAGAAAAACCTTTGAATGATCTCAAAAAGTAATAAAAGCTCACTATGCAAAAGCTAATTTATATAGAAGTTTGTTTTTTAAGCATACTTTAAACATATAAAACTGTTCCCAATTGATTTGTTGACTGCAGGAAACGACAACGTGGCTGTTGAAAAATACTTGGCTTAACTTGTTAATAGGTGGAGTTTGGTACAGAATGATTATTTAAAAAATTACGATGATTTATATATAATGATTAAATTATTATGTTTAGTAAGTAATTTTATGTAATGATAATTTTGAATTATCGAAAGTGATTAAATTATTATTTTAAAAAGTGATTTAATTTAATTTTAAAAAAATAAAAAAATTTATCACTTAAATAAAATGATATATAAAATTAATTATTGTCAATATTATTCATTTAATAAGTGAATTAAAAATTTATTATCTTTTAAAATTGTAATTATTTTATATTATAAATTTTTATATTTTAAAATTAATATTCATTGTAATAAGTTTAGAAATAATTTTTGTATTTTTTAATATTTTACATAATTTAATTTTTCTTTTATTATAAATTTAATAGATTAATCTTATTTTTTAATTCAAATATTTTTTTACATAATTTATATTATAAAAATTAGTTTACCTATCTATAAAAATATTTATTAATTCAATAATTTAATTATATTTTATTGTAAATATTTCTAGTATTTTACAAATTATTATTTTTAATTAACATTATAATTATTAACTTGTATAACTATTATATGGTTATTTTCATATTTTTAAACAAAATAATATTTGATTTTTCATAATATCAAATATAATAATATTCAATTACTGAGAATTAATTATTATTAATCAAATAAAATAATTTTAAATCACGAGTGATAAGATTATTTTGATAATAAAATCATTTCGATGATTTCATTATCATGATAATTTTATAAAAAATACAAGATATTGCAAAAGGGATTTTGGTAATCTATTTTCTTTTTAGGTATCAAAGTCATATCTACCTGTAAGGGCATGTTTCTGTCTCAACACATGTATATTAGAGATTTTTTTTTTTTTATAAATTTGATATGACAAACGGCAAACAAGTATCCACTCCCAGCTAGTTCAGATAAACGATTCTTGATCCAAAGCAATTCAGAAGCTGTATTGGGTTTTTTATCGATCTATCTAAATGTCCAACACTTCATTGCGATAACATTGGTGCAACTTACATATGATCAATTTGTAGATATTTTTACTAAGCCTTTAAAAAACAAAGATTTTAGCTTCTAAGATTCAAGAGTGGTGGAGTCATTTTGCAGGGGCACGTAAAGCTTGAATATCCCTACTAGATCAAACCACAATAGTTGCTAACCCTAAGAAGACTAAGTGAGTTTATCCTAACTAATCTTGGATTGGGTTGTAGCGTAGATAAGTTGTTTCTAGAATAAGCTAGACAAAGTTCAATCTTGGATTTTGTATATTTGTATGGTTTGCATTAATGAATTGATAAGGATCAATTTCTCAAAAACGATCTGTCCTAATAATACCTTTGTGAAAAAAAAAATCCACCATTCCTTTATTTTTATGAAAATTAGATCAATTTTCAAAATGATGATCTTATTTTTTTTGATAATCTAAAATTATGATTACATATCTTCAATTTTTTGATCAAATAATTAAAAAATTTTAAGAAAACATATAAAATCAGACTTCGAATCTCATCATTTTCATTTTTTATCCTTATCCAATAGAAAAAAATAAAATAAAATTTATCATTACACAAAACTATCACGTTCTTACCAAACAAAATGATCTATCAATAATACAAATCATTAGATAATCACTTTATATCAAAACATCACCGAAAAACAGTTTTCTAAATCCCTAATTGAGAAAAGAAAAGCATGGTATGTCAATTTTTTTCCCTTCAATATTTGGGATTATGGAATCAATTGTATAAAATGTTTATTAAGAACTTACCTACTCAAGAGGTG